GACTGACCTCTGGAAAGACACATCCCAGTTGCCGCTTCCGAATATCACGGATAAAGTAAACGTACGCATCGGCCATCGCACAAGACGAAAACTAGTCCTCATCGCAACCATCGGCGGAAACAAGTGAGCTCCAAAGCGGGTCAGCGGAAAGCAGCGCCGATCTCTGAACGAAATGAGCGCCATTCGAGACGGCAAGAGGGGGTGCGAAAGCAGAGATATCGCATCATATGTCAGAGCCAAACGCAGCGCCCGCAAACGTCACACACGAAGAGCAGCTGTTGCATGCGTGCAGTTGCATGCAGATGATGATGAGGCTGATTCTGGCCAGGGCTTCATCATCCCTTTTCGCTTCTTTCCCCAGCCCTGCTGCGACAAAACTGAAACGCAAAGAGTCACGATACAACACGCAGACGTCCAAAAGGCCAGCTGCGGGCGCGCTGCGGCACTACCGCAAACTCGGTGCCATTCTTTGAAGGAGAAAAGGCATCACAAAAGGATTCTCCGTCCACTATCCACTGAAACTATAGGTTGTCGCGCGTCGATTGGTTCTTTGTCTGTGGTTGTTCAGACCTCAACAATACGAGGCCTTGACGACACTACCGCCACTACCTTCTTGTCGCCTCCTACAGACGCCAACAATGCCAGCGTTTCCGAGGCTGCAACACAGAAAGGTTCTGTTGAGGCGCTGCCTTGAGGTAGGTTGCAAGGGGTTTTGCTCTGGTCAGTGCTGCTGCATTTAACAGCTGTTTTGCTGCGTCTTCGCTGGTGCGGCGGCACGGCCGAGTTGAGGGTCACCTTGGGCGGCATGAAGTAGACGAGAGGAATGCATGCACAAGGCAGAAGACACTGCGAGACGAGAATCAAGTTGAGAGGCATCTGGGAGTCGCAGCCCCCCGGCGCCGTTTCCTTCATCTGAATACCAGCGATTTCAATCGCTACTGCACCCTGCATCTTGTTGCAGGTGGTGCTCAGATTTGTTACTCCTGAAGCGGTTGCATACGCTGTCGATTCGAGTTTAGGGGGGCAGCTGCGCGCTACCGTCAGAGAACTCGTCATGCACGACAGCGTAAGTAGCAAGTGATAAACTATTGCATCGCCCCACAGAAGCATGACCCTGTCGGGGATACCGATGCGGATGTTCAGCTGCCACACGATCCCACTATCAAAAAAGACCGCGCGCATGCGCACGGTGTTCGTCAGCAAAAAAAAATAGTGTGCGCGCTTCAGCCCTTAAACCCAGAAAGATGTAGATGCCAGGCCACTAGCCTATCGCGCCCAGTAGTGCAGTGTACGTACACAAGCACGGGCAGTAATATATTCTACAATACGTTGTATACGAGGATACAGCACACTTCCCAACGCCAGTGCCGTTGCTGCTGCTGCAGACACCGGCGATGAGGCACCGTGGGCCGGCCACAAAGCACTGCAGCTTCCATTGTCTTGTACGTGAGGTGGGAATCGCCCTTCAATGCAGGCATTGCAACCCAATGAAAAATTTGCCATGAGCCGCTACCAGCCTGCAACAAATACGTGCGCGTGAAGATAACATTCGCCAACCCCAATCAGGCGCGGCCCATACAAAACATGTGAAGAGGGGAAGCGTGTCGGGGCGGCGCTCAGATGGCTGTTGGTAGACAAAGGTGCATAGGAATAGACGCTTGGACAGAAGGCGCCAGAGAGCTTGTAGGTAGGAAGATAGAAGTCTCTCTGCACAAAAGGCAGAAAAATTATCTACGAAGGTTTGTGCGGAGGACAGCTTCACCCGTTGTTCGCGCATGTAGCCGCTCCCGCTGAGTTGAAGGAGAAGATGCCCCCGGGAAACGGTTTTGATCAAGCGCTCCTTTGCAGCCCACTCTGGGTAACTTTCTTGTGGCCATTTGGCATAGCATTATCGGTGTGCGGGAGATCTGAGCTGCGTTGCACTTGCTTCCAAGGTACCGGTCTGCTCCAGCTGCTCCTGGCAACGCAGTTGCTGCCCTTTTGCGCGGAGAGCCCAGCGACGCTGAGGTGATTCCCTCAGCTGTTTTAGAATACCAACTTTGACTTCAAGGCGACATCTCCAGGTTGGTGGCAAGTATTTCGTCTAAGCCACATGTTGACCCGACAACCAATGGCTCTCCCAACGTATGACGAACTTGTTGAGTTGCTTGCCTATCTGCGTGAGTCGCATATTGTGGAAATCCACAAAAACCAACTGGCCCATGGTAAAAGTAATTGCCAGGCGTCCTCTGTTGTAATGCCTTGCTTGGCGTTTCTGCTCATTTTTCATGTTTTCCAGAGTTTTTGCAAGCTTCGGCAACTGCAGACGTGCGCCGCTGACTTTTAACAACCAGGTCCACTGTCAGTTCAGATAACAGCACTTCAATGTAGACCAGGGGAGCAAGAGAACAATGGGTCGAAGAGTGCGCTGTTGTATAGTCAATCCATTGCGCACGAAGGGAAAAGTCTAACCACCCTGATGAACTTGCAGGGGGTGCAGAGTAGCAAATACTGCACGAGGGTGAAGTTTCTGCTTTCAGCTTGTGGGCCTGCCTCT